AAATTAATTACCACAGGAGGAGCCGGCGCGAACGCGACCCTACGCCTTATCAACGTCCTCTCCTCCTCCCCATCTGATGACGACTCCGCTCTGGGGCGCACAACCCCCGATGGCCCCTCGTCCCGAAGTAGGGTCCGTGATGGAGAAGAAACCGCTGAAGACTCGACTGATGCCGCCCTCGGTGTTGAGCGCGACACTGGCGCTGCAGTAAGCCGAGCAACTGCACCAGGCCGACAGAAGGCCAACTGAGGGGCCCTGACGCGGCGCGCCCTCCCTATTCACAAGAAAACAATGTTAATGAATAAAGCTGAAACAAAGCGGAACAGAAGAAGAGACCAATTTTTTACCTGCCACAGACCTACGGCCATGCCTCTCCCAGAAAGACGCCCACGTACGTATCCCCCTCGTATGGGGGAGTATGGCCTCGACCCATTCGCGTATCCAAGGCAATGGGGGCGGCGGCGACCTGTCGGCTACAAAAAAGACACGAGTTAACGCTCATAAGCACAGATCATAAAGAGGGGAATAAAAGAATTCAACCACTAAAGAACTTACGTGCATGGTTCCAGGCCTCTGGGAACCCAGTAGCATCCGCCACCAGGTGTTGGGTCCTGATATAAAAGAAGTGCTCGAAAGGGCGGGGGTCGACCTCGTCATCCAATCTCGTGACCAGGCCCCTCGCCCCACGAGGGCACGCCTGAATCATGGTGCCACGGACTCTCTGGGGAGCGTAGAGACTCAGCACGTGCTGCAGCGTGACCTCCCTACGGGCCAATTCCGCATATTTGATGAACATTGCCAACAATTTGTAGAGGGAAGGAGTGAGCTGACCTGGGCACACCCCGTAATGACGGCAGAAATCCACCACCAGCATTGGGAGCGGGATATTGAACCCCAACCTGAAAGGATAGGCGTAAAAAACGCAGTATCCCCTACGGTCGGTGTGGACCCTCTCCTCGCTTCTAGCGAGAACGATGTCTGCATGGGTAGGAACGACACCCTGTTCCCGCAATCGGGCCATCCCGATTTCCCCCATCAACGGGGCTTCATCCACCGGTTCCTCTCCACCGTCGACGGTGAAATCGATCGCCGGACCTCCGGGCCGAGGAACCACCTCGTCAACCGACGGGATTTCGCCGGACTCCATCTGTT